CGTAGTCGTTAAAACAAGAAATTGCATTTCTCCTCCTCGAAGAGTGGAGGAGACTGGGCGGCGAATTCCCGGCGAAATCCTTGCACTCGGCGCCCATAAAAACTATTCTATACTCCTTTTTGAATAGGTGTTAAGCTACCACTTCTGATCTTTTGAATGTGCGCGCACACCCGCCTGCCCAACAGGCGGACGATATAAAAATCGAGATAAAAGAGCGCAGAGTGGATTAAAACGAGCTGTACCAGCAGGAGGGAAGTTAAAGACAAGACGCTCCGCGAACCAGACAATACCGAAAATAATGGACGAGAGCTCGTTTTGCCATAAAGAAGTTATAAAAGTTATAAAAACCCCTTTTAACAAATTATTTCCACTCTTGACTTTTATCTCGACGACGACAAAAGGCGCGAAATAACGTGATTACAGACTTCAGAACTGTATTAACTCAAGATTTTATTATGTTTTCAAATAATCGCTGAGCAAACAAAAATCACAATTTCGTAATTTATGTGTATTCATAGTAGGAATAATTTAGCAACGATAAATATCAACGACTTTTTAGGCAAACGTTTACGCTGTAAATACAATAGTTTAGCTGCTATGAGTAGAATTAAAATTCTTAAAGTTTGAGACGTAAACCATGCCGATATTCGGTTTTATTCGGCATGGTAATGGCAGTGAACGTCGACGGTGGTCGTAACATTAAGAGTTATACCGTATAAACTGAAAGACCGATGCGAAAAAATCGTAAAATCGCAGTCATAATCGAAGCAAGTTACGTGAACGCGCCACAATCTCAAATTTTCAATAATTCCATTCAATAATAATAATATAACGGGCGGTAAAATTTTGCCAAATCAGCAAAGATGTCACAAATGTTCTTTTAAAATAATCTATAATAAAATTAAGTAATTACAAACAGTTGTTAACTAATTTATTTCTTTATAAGGACTAATCAATCAATTTTCTTTGTTCCTTAATTCCTGTAATAAAACGCGTCTGCACTGGTGCTGAGGCGATGCAAAACACTAAAAAGCAAGCTTCTTTATTTTAATTACTTAATCCAGACTTCGAACAGCAACACAACACGCTCGTATATATCTTTCTAAGCTTTTCACCGTCGGCACGGATCGCATTTTGCCCTTCTCATAATGTTTACAACTTTACACCTACTTACAGGATAAATTCCTTCTTGTTTTCATCAAGCATCGCCCCTTTTTCTTGCCGGTTGAGTATCAGGGTGCGCGTTTTACGTTTTCTGCCGTCGATAGTTTTATTACCATTATTTATCGGCTGCGAGTGGAAGTTGACAGTGAAAATCGAGAAAAACCTTTTGTGTTGGTACCTACCGGACTTTTTCGAGTGGTCATAAAATCAGTGAAAGGTAATCAAGAAATTGTACTAGCTTAAAATAAAAATACAAATAATTCGCATCTACTATAATTTTTTTTCGGTAGATTTTGAAATAATAAGGAAATAACCGCTCAATCAATTGATATCAACCGAATAAATTTTTCCAGGCCATGGCATCACGTGATACCGCGACAGCAGCGCACCAAAGTGAAATAAATAAAAGTTTTATAGTGTATTTTACAACTTTACACGTTTTACGTGCTATATTATATACCTGTGCAAAGCTGCGTCGATCGACGCACGTAAATATAAACTCGCCACGCCACAGTGTAGACAACGTGCGCATATGCATGTTTTCCGCTTGTTTTAGGGACTTGTTAACGGATCGTTTCGGAACTGTATGATATAAAATGATATATCTATAAATTGATCACATCGCGCTGCATGCGACGATAAAAATGTTTACCTTGTTATGAAAATTCGTCCAGGCGGATGTTTTCAATAGTTTTATATCCGATATTCATTGATTTAAATGTTAACAGCAATAAAAACGTTTAAAATATGATCAGATTGTTAATTCGTAATTAAGTATACTATAATATAATTTATGGCGACCTGAATGTGTCCAATAACATGTTGTTGGTAGCGAAAACATGTTAAACATGCACTTTGACGCTTTGTCGAACACGATCTGTCCGAAAAATAAATAATTAAGCACGCGTTTTTTGTGTGCGTTTTAATTTGTATTTTATAGTCGCCTACTTTGGTTTCTGCTTCTTTACGATCGCATCGAAAAGGAAGCACTACAATGGAGTTTTAAAATGCATGGTATTGACGCGAGAGTGAGGCTTGTTACGACTACACATTGACTAAACTAAAGCGTGCTCAAATTTGGTTTTAATTAGTTCGCGGGCGAAGCCGCCCCACAAGCGGATGCGAAAATAATAAATTTTAACTGACCGAAGTGGAGCTTACCCGCGCCTCGCACGTGTACGCATGTGCGGAGCATGGGATAGGTTAAGTCCGCGTACCGGGTAGAACAACTCAGTCGCTCGACGAGAGAGGGAGTGAGAAACGCAAGTCGGAGAGAGCGCTTCGACGTACCGCAACATTAACCGTGATCGTAAAGCGCAGTTTATATCCGTTTTATGGCATTTGTAAAATATTGCATTTCGAGTATAATATATGCACTTGACTATATAACCTTATAGCTTCACGAAGCGAGCAGCGCATCCTGGCGTATGCAATGTGTGTGCGGAGGCTCTGCGCTGTGCTATCGATGCGATGCGGTTTGCAGACCGAGTAAAAGTTGCCCTCAGACAGCGCAAATTAAATTCGGTAACGCCGTCTTCCAAGGAGGGTGTGATCTTGCAAATTGTTGTTTGAGATTGAGAACGGTCGACATCAGCAGAGAATTTGATGACTTAACGATGAATTTGCCACGGAATTAACCATCAAAGTTTTGATTTTAGTACAGACTGAGAAGAGAAACTGATACATTTCGTGAGTATTGGAATCATACAGTGTTTTTTGTTTTGTATGTCGTTTTACATTTTACTATTTTACATTTTACACTGACCATTCCGGGCGAAGTTGGGTAGCGCAGCAGTAAAAGCACTAAAAGCCTCTCCTAACCCTTTTTACGATCATTAAAATCGCCCGCGATTCGATAGCGCCGCGCGCATACACGACGAGCTCGGTTACCGCCACACGGGGGTGGTCGACGAATCAAATTCACTCAAAATAGCAATATTTCATGATATTCTTATCATTTAAATTGATATAAACAAAAATAAATATATACAAATCTAGAGTAGATTTTGCGTATTTCGTTGCTATTTAAATTTAGAATATAAAGAATCGTAAACATAAAATGCGCTCATATAAATTTCACTGTCATTGAAGCTAAGCCCCAATTGAAATGGTTATCCTATCATTCTATCTATCAAGGGAATGGTTTCTTCACAAATTTCCAAGGCGGAGTATATTGCTGCATCACTGGTTGTCTACAGTTAAGTTGGTGACTGTAGGGGTTATGGTAGAATAGTTTACAGCTTTGGTTGCAGCATTCAGAAGATATAAAACGAAATGGGCGATTAGGTAAAGTACATTTTAATCAAATTTTGAAAAAATTAAAAAATATTACGAAATCTGCATGAGAAAATATCTTTTTTATAAAAATTTACAACAAATAAATCAATATTCTGTGTTTTCTCATAAAATTTTTTAAATTTTCAAGTCGTAACCTAGGATTTCATTTAATATTCCTTAAAAATGAAGCAATATATGCAACATTGCATCCGTTTACAAGCAATGTTGGTTGCAATGTATTCCAGAATATTGTACTTACTTACATTGCAATTTGATACCTATATACAAGACAATAAAGGGAATACGGCCGCGAAATAAACTCCTTTACGAAGGCGCAATTGCAAATGAAAACCGCGTGCGCAGGTAGTCCACCCAACGTACGCTTAAGACGTTTAAAAGCTGTTTATGAATAAACATTTTACTCCTGTGCCGCTATAAACCGCGCGCCACGTAATTGAATGCTGTGCGAGCCCATAGCGAATGCAACGCAACGAGAAAAGCAATCGTTGTTGCAGCCACGAAAGGCAATGGCGGATTGATCCAAGAAGGTAATGCATAGGAGTACGTGACGAAGAGACGCGTATAAAAGTCTGCGCTACTCGCAGTGGTTGGGTTATGGGATGGAAATATCGTAAAAGATAACCGCGAGCCCTCGCCCGCATGTATGTGCACGTTGAGCTGCCTAACATTGTCTAACCGAAAATTTATCTGCTTCCACATTTACCTGTTGGTCGGAATGGCGCGCATATGTGCTGTCAGACGGGAAAATTTAATAACATTTGCGCACATTGTAACTTTATAGGTTTCTATAGCATCACTTGCATATCAATCGGAAATCTCAACATCTAAAAATCAAATATTCACGTAAAATTTTTAAGGAAAAGTTTAATTTGAGAAAAACGTTAAGGTTATTAGGTTAGGGGTGCGGAAATCTACTTTTTTGCCTAACCTAGGTTTATAATCAAATACTGGGGTAGGTGTAGGTTTATAGCGCTCTGTTCGACCGACTCAGACTGTTAGGATCGTAAAATTTCCCACCCTCATGGCGATAGCTGAGGGAGTTGACACCTTGATACAAAAATATCACCCTTGGACATAATAATACTAAAACTCCCAGAAATTAACCGCTCGTGGTCATGGTCATGCGGTTATCCTTCCGCAAGAAAACCGAGTAGTTCCCAACTAGTTTAAGGACGTTGCCGCATTTACAATTCCATTTAGTGTGGAGCGCGCACATAAAAATATTCTAAAATATCAATTCGGCGGATTGGTTACGACGTTGGCCGCCCTCCGGTGGCGGCTCAACGGCGGCTACAGACCCGCATATGAATCCATAAATCTATAAAAGTTTTATGTGCGTCTTGTCAGCCGGCTTCGGGGTACGATTCCTTCTCGCTTACGCAAGTGTTGACACAGGCATGCAATCAACCCAAATGCCAAATATGTGTAAGTGTATTATATACAATTTTACTCAATCGATATGTTTATAAGCAGACGACACCAATAACCGAATGAATTTAGTTTATTAATATTAAAAATTAAAAAAAAAATTTACTCACTCAGCATCGGCTCCGTGGTCGCAAGGATGTGGTAGTGAGAAGTGGTGCAAATTGAAGGTTGGTGATTGGCTCGTTGAACGGCTCGATGAACCCAGGTGCCATGTAACCGGTGTGCTGGTACATCTTCATGCGAGCTTTCATCTGATTGAAGGTGTCCATGTCTAGACGCGGATAGTAGCGCACCAATGCCGCCATATACGGCAATTCTATGTTTGCTGTTGAAAAAACAAAACAAAAAATTATTTTTGATAAAACACCGAATATTATACAATCAGTAGATAAATATAATAAATTTATACACAAGGTAATATTAGGTATAACATTTCGATGAATATGATGCTGTTTGATTGCGTCGCGACGCCGTAAACAAAAACAAATGAATATTAAATGATTTCGTCGACAGCAGCAGCGCATAATGCGTTTCAGTTTAATGCTTAATCTGGCCGCTGTTGCAATGTGCAACAACGTGGCAAATAAAACAACAATGCGTTTGCACACACAATGTGGGATCGTATTCGACCCAAAACCCGACTTGAATTGTCGAGTTGTATGCGCCGTATATCCCGCGATTTACGTCCGTGGTGCCATTGCCGAGAGAGATCTAAAAATGATTATTAAAATGTCGCATTCAGAATCAATGCAGGCAACCCTCACGGCATTGCACTCTCGCCGTGCGCCGTTAAAGTTGCATTTTCGTAGCGCGCGGATTCGGCAAAGCGTAATAACGCGTCAGGCAGCGCGGGCCACCGATTTAATTATGGTATAAAACCATTCCAGCATTAAAAGTGTCGTTATGATGCGTTTTATGGGCGGGAATGCTGAAATGCTGAACGCTCCCGTTGACTGCGACGGCGGTTTGAAAGGTACTACCTCACTCCCAGCTTGCGGATTGTGCAGACGTTACGTCTCCGCGCGCCGATTTCGTAGATCATTCCGAATTGTGGTCAAACAAAAAGTTTTTTTACGACACTAAATCACCGCGCATACCAGTCGTTTCCCGCGTCAAACACTTGCAATTGTTTTCCGAACCAGTATGCAAACACGTTGTATAAAATTCAACATTCTTTTATGTGACTGAATCTAATTTCGAATGCAACTATGATCACATATTGCTGACGTGAACGAAAACGCAAAAAATAAATCAAATCGATAATAATTCATTTTTAGGATGTCAAAACAATTTAATAAGAAAGCAGAAGAAAATAAAGTAAAAGTCTGACGATAGCGCACGTTTCGACTTATATTTGATGCAATTCAATCCGGTGTGCAATGTGTTTGCTACACACTTCCATTGATGTTTGTAAATTGTGAGCAAAATAAATGCTTGCGATTTCTGTGAAGACTAGGCAAACCTCAGAAACACGACAATATTGTTACCATCGTGTTGCCACGTTCGGGCGTAGAGTTATGACTAGTTATACACAAAACAAAAGCGAATGCGCACCTGGTTTCCGTCTTCGGTTCGCACATCGTTTACCATCGCGCCTTGCCACTTCATTTATGTTATTACTAGTACTTCGACGCCGCGTTCGCGACTAATATACAGAAGCAATCAAACTCCAAGTACTGCTTACTGCTTTGCACTCGCAGGAAACCAGCATGCACACACAACATCCGAATGAATGATGTTTGATTTGCTTCGGTGGCATTGTTTCATGCAGCGCATGAAATAAAAAAAAATCCAGCAAGTTCTCGACCTTACTCGTATGTGACATTTTGCATATATGCACCTTGCGGAATTTGAACGGTATTATATTTAGCGAAAATGTTGTCGCTGTATTTAGAAATGGAAGAGTAATGAAAAGTGCAAAATGGTAACAACTTTCGTAACCACGCCCGAGCACACAATGCGTTGTGTTCGCCAGCTCTCGTACTCGCTGCCAATTGCAATAATATGTAGTTGTTAAAATGCGAAGAGTAGAAAATAGTCAATCGTAAATCTCGACGCAAAATAAACATGCGCGAAGCTCTTAACTTCTGTATTTTGCGTGCACAAAATATTATTATTTGGTCGCACTGAGACGAGTCGCGGTTGTGAGTGGACGCTCGTAACTCTTTGGAATTTATTAGGAAAATTAACATTTCATACATCTTTAAACGCCGTTGCCAGCTTCGGTTGGGCGGACGCCGTCGTTGGATTTTTTTTTCGCGATAAATTCATTGTATACCTTTCCTTGCATTCGAGCACGAAGCGTAAATCTGAAGCGAAACGAAAGTGCTTTATTGTTTGCGCTGCGAATTAGAATTATTTAAATTGCGTTTCCATGGAATTTCGAAAGTAATTCGCGCTGGATCATCAGGTTACCGGAAAGACTTCTTGCATTCACATAATAATAAATAAACCGGAATAAATCGATATTCACATATCAAGTGAGTATAAATTAATAATAAGACATACTTCTAATACGATTTGTATTTATTGATTCATAGCCACTTGGTGAGTGTAAATGGGTGCTAAAATCGTATTAACGAAGCAAAATCGTTCCGGCTTGCCATGCGTCGTTGCATTTTTATCAAACGTTCGCACACGTTTATCCAGCGCCGCGCGTGGAAATGTTTTCCGAACACTACTACGGCACGAAACCGAAAATCGTTAAAGCCGGTAATTTACGGCTGACCATAAATGCAAAAGGTTATAATATTTTTAGTGCGGCCCGCGGAGGGATACAAAGATGAAACGCGTTCGGTTCGACGACAACGCGTACATGTTACACATATATTTAGTGTAACTTTTAATCGCCCATAACTCATATAATCGCCAGCGAAAAAATACCAGAGCAAGATTTCTCGACGAATTTTTAACTATTGTATTATTATATATTACCACAACAATCCTGTTGAGATAAATCGCTTAAATCGCTAAGAAAACTATAAAATTTTAAAATTCAAAATTTTACATTCGCGAAATGTGAAAATGAACACAAATTAATGTAAAACTACATTTTGAACATGTAGTTATCTCAAGTGGCCTCTCAACCTTAGTTGTAATGAGTCTGGCTGCGCTAATATTGAGCACACATTGATTTTTTCCTTGTCGCGTTATCATAGCGAAATGCGCAATATCTACACGACGCGCGTTATCACCGACCTAGACCAAAAAGCGCGTCAAAACCGCGGCACGTGTACGACATTGTAATGTAAAGCACTGTAATCTACTTATCTACTCAATTAACACACTCACACAACGGCTGATAAATATGTAACCAAATGTATGTATGCACAGTTCAAGTTCACCATGCACATGGTTTATGATTAGATTATGAAAGAGAAAGTAATTCCTACTTATACACTATGTGTTCTATGTGCAAAAACCTCACTTTCATTAAACATACGGAAAAAAATTATCATTGCGATATAATCTAGTTTGTAGACGGGCGTATTTTTATCACAATTCTACTTACCTAGCGAGTTCGTTTGCCTCACAATGAGCAAACATTGTTATCGCCGGCGCAACATGCATGTAAGTTGCGGTGTAATTCAAATTGTATTATGCTTTCATTACTGAAGTGAAACTTTGAGCATGCATGATTTTTAATAAAATACTGATTGATTGATTTATAGAATTTGGGTGATGTGATTTCTTCAGATGATTTGTGGGTCTTCTTATCTTCGTTTTTCTTCGGGGGTCCTTCACTTATCAATACAACGATGCACTTAATTACGTTGTGCCAGTCTTCATGTTTTCTTGGTTAATACTTGTACTTTTAACTTGTGCGGCGAAGAAAAGGGGGGCTCAGTTACACTGAGAGAGTAATGATGCCAATTTTAGCAAGAATTAGTTATAAATTTGTACAACATAAAAGTTAGTGACGAATACTTTCACAAATACTTGATAGAAAATAATACCTAAGTGTTTATCAACTCTCCTAAAAATTTATATATAATTAAAGCTCATTTTATCTCTTTTGATTTAAAAAAAATTTTCATTTTTGTAAAAATTAGTACGATGTTGAAAAAAATAATACCTAATTAATTAAAAGAATACTTTGTGTTAATTTGACGGCATCATTACATCTCGTTAACAGTGGAACTAATCATCGATCCATTCAAACTCCTTCTTCGTTCTTTGTTCTTGCTGTCTATACCACGTGCGCGCCACGTTTCGAGAGGGTGATAGACACCAAGTTATAAAACATAAAAACAGAAAAGAAAACACCGTGCATAAATTAAATGTGTCCTACAATTCGACGGATTTTTTGATCGCAACGAGAATAAAACAGAGGATAACAAAGCAGAAAGCTTTTGGAAATAAAAAAAAAAACAAAAATATTCTAAGAAACAGATAAAGACTGAAGCTAACATAGATAGATACGAAGACAAGACAATACAAGAATTTAGTTAATAATGTTAATAAATTTTGAAAAAAAGACAGCAAGAAGAATAAATTGGCAACGAAAATCACAGAATAGTAGTTTTTAGATAATACAGAAGAATACAGAAAGCGGGAGCGGCAAAAGATAATAATTATGTTTTTAATCATCCATACTGACGCGAGGAGTTTCGTAGTTCGACGCCGTCGTACATGTTGAGGTTGTAAATTCTTGAGTATTCGATCACCACGCGTTTGCCTAAATGTAGAACATTATTAAACGTGGTAAAAATCCCCAGAAAAAAATTAATTAATTTAAATAATCACACGTTAAAGAAAAAAAAACATTTATTAACACTAACCGTCGTCGATTCGCTTTGTCGCCTCCTCCAGGTCTCCATTGGAATCCTTCAATATCGCATACATCAAAGGCATCATCTCCCATGGATACCGAAACTTTTCCAAGAGTCGCTGACAGTCTTCCAAAAGGTCAGTACAAACTGTAACAATAAAACACAATATAAATAAAATGACGCCATATTTAATTTAAACATGTTTTTATTGTTATTTCCCGTAATTTCATGCGTCACGCGATGCTTGTTGATTGCTCGCTTCCTCGCTGCCTATCCAATTGCAAAGAAGAGGTAGGCCCATCGACATAGAGGCATCATTAATTATCGTGGTAGTCGGCTCCTACTGCTCTTTGGAAAGGTGAGCAGCGCAGGAGGAGCGATCGCAGCGAACCGCCACGTCGATTTCTATTCCTACGCTCATTGGTTGAAGGAAACCGCTCATCAGTTACAACTGTCTTCATCGTCGAAGACCACCACATAAGGAAAGACTAAGAAGTCGAATTGTAAGGTAGAAGAGATGCAAATACGAATACAAAACATAAAACTGCGTATCTTGAACTTGGTAAAAATAAATAATTTAGCTTCTTGTAGTTGATAAGTTATTACCTCCAAAGTATTCAAGTGATTTGCGTCGACAAACGCGCAGAATGTAGTATTATGTAAGTACGAAACGAATCTAAGAAACAGGTTCGAGTTGCAGATACAAAACGAGTCATAAAATTGTTATTTTGCGCTGGAATGATTTACTGCTTGGTATTCTCGACAAAAACAAGAATCGCGTTAATGAACACGAATTCTACATACTGCAGTTAACATATTGTAATAGTTTTTAATCACGTGAGGTAAAGAAATGTTTTTTCGAGTGTAGAAAATGCATTTTAGATTTCACTATTGACGTAGGACACAATTTACATTGTGCATAATGAAGCTTTGATACATTCGGGTGGAATACCCGAGCTAATTACAAACTAGGGTGGTACTCATGTCCGCAAATCACATTTCGGTTACAGAGTTACACTGTTATGTGGCCAGAATGTGTCGATAAGTGGAATTGGTTTCAAACAATGAATTTATGCATCAATTTAGCAAAAACACACAATCTAATGTAATATATAATAAATTAATAATATTACACTATTTTTAAACAAATTATGACTTTAAATAAACGATTTATACCTCGTAAATTGTTTGAATAAACAATTTTTGTATTTATTACGTAGTCAAATGCACATGATACAGATGAGTATTTAGAAGCGCATGAACAGGCTAATTTTGCAACTATCGTCCGGCACGCGGATATGAATTATTAATAAGTTAATACTCATGTCTGCACATACAATATGCAGGGATTTTCGGGTCGTGGCAATTTGCATCGCAATCAAACAGTCGACCATGGCGCCCCCTAACGCCAAGCACGAACGCGTTTTATTCAATTACACACACACACACGCTGAGGCCACACATGTAAAATCCAATGCAATCGCAGATGTTAACGCGGTGTAAATGCATAAAAGTGGAGGATAATTTAATTTTTGTTACAATATAACACTAATTTTCATCTCTGCATGGATACACGACGCAAAACCATGCATTTTAGGCACTGAAGAGGAAAACATATCACTATTAAGCGCAGAAGCGTGTGATATAAAAATAAAACTCGGACGCGTTGATGAAAAGAAACGTAGTCGATAAATGTCGAACATCAACTACTGCGCTGGTTTGTTTTTTCTTCATGTTGGGCGAGGGAGAAGGAAATTGTCAGTCATGTCATGATAATACGTGCGGATTGCGAAACGGCAGACAGACGGCGAAGTTTACGTGACATTAGAAAACGCGTCCGCCGAGTGCAATAACAACTAAGTAATCACTGTTTTAGTTTGTGCCCGGGCATTGGTTTGCTTCGGGGGCGAGAAGAACATGCAGCTTAACGACGTCTCGCGCCGCATTAAAATTTCTGAATTGCGCCAACGTATATAAAACGACGTGAAAGCCCAGAAACGGAAAACTCGCCACGTCAGACAACCTCACGTTATCTATTTCTATAAATCTTAATCATATACGTAAAATAAAGTTAAAGCATTTTTGGGAAAATTTTGTATTAAACTAAACATTTTACCGATAATAAATCAATTGTATGGTTAAATATTATATTATAAATTATAATTTAAAATAATCATGACTGTTACATTGGTACTTAATTTGAAACCATGAAAACAATGGCGCACAAAGCAATAAACAAGCGAAAAACTAATTGCACAATACATATTATATTATATATTATATTCCGTAAGTTATGATTAACATGAGATGTTGGAACCGGTTTTAATTTAATAAACTTTTATGCTTCTCAATTTATTAATTCATTATTTATTATTAAACGTTTTACGAGCGATATAGCCACTTTTTAATTTTAAAGTAATAAAAAGATTAAGCGCGGAGTTTAAGTGTAAGTGCTGATTAAATAGCAACAATAGCACCACAATTTATGCATATTATGAATGCTTTGGTTTTGCTTTCAATAACATAGTAATTGTGCTATTGTAATGGTTTAATCACTAATTTAATTTAAAACACGAAGTGGCATGAAGCATGCATTAAATAAATTAGGTTACGTAAGTAGAAAACCAACGTTACACGCTGAATAACCTCCAAATTTAGTCACGACTTGTTCATTTTCTTGATGTGATTTTTATACTTAAATTAAATTACCTTCATTTAATGTTATACAGGAAACAAATATCAAACGTTGATACAACTCTCAACTCTCTCAAAGTGTTTCGATAGTTTCTCGTGTGGACAACTGAAATCGTTGCCTTTGACAATTTGATGCAAATCGAAACCTACGAAACTGATGCATTGGGATTTGGTGTTAATGTCATCCCTGCATCCTTCAAGAGTACTTGTTAGGGGGCAAGATGAGAAGTGATAATAGGTGAAACTCTAGTCTACGTCAACAACCAGCAAACGCGAGTAGACCGGGTTTGATACCCTCACAAACGATACTTCAACATGATGCGGCAGTATCTTTCGCCTGATAACATATTAGCTTTCGTAAATTCACGTGGAGGGGTTTTCACTTTGTGAGAAACATTTACGCATACTCGTAATTCAGGCTGTTACAAAATTGGGTCTTTAGATTACACCTAGCGCCATCTCACGATATAAAATAGAAACTTTTTTGCCAACCACACTCAAAACACCTTTAAATTGACCTGGAATTTCAGTCCTAGTGACTTAATTTATTTTTTACAAAGATAAAATGATAGAAAATGTGAATAAACCTTGAAAAAATGAAAAAAAACATCTCAATAAATCTCTTAGAAGCAATAATAATGCAGTAGTAGGTTTCTAACACTCTCGAAATTAGCATAAAAGAACATATTGTTGTTGCATTGTAGTTATAGTGCGTGCACAAGATGGAGGCCTCCAGTAGGTATTATCTTTCAACTTGCATCGTTCCAATGTGGCTCATATCTATTATATTAGTATGTACTGGCATTACTTGCATTATTCGCGGCATTGTATGCCCGCACACTCACGCGTGGCCACGCTATATCGAAATACGACGTGTAGGAATAATAAAACGCGTCGTTTTATGCCTCCGCTCGTAAATCAAACGGGCCCGTAAGAAATTTATATCTATAAAGAATATTTTATTATTTAAGGGGTTAAACGCTTTGCATTCCGATATGTTGCGCGCGTTGCATGTTGCGATAATAATCATTGCAGTTCATAGCATTTACGTAAACGACGAGAAACAAACGCAAACAATTACTAATTAAATAAATTTTGTAAATTTATATCACGTAATTGTATTGCTGTTGCAATATATGAAAACTTTTCGTTTGGATTTTGTTACATGTTTGCTGGTTTGCAGTTATGCGTTGCATAGGAATCGCAAAGATGTTTATAGTCCTTCGCATTGAATAGCAACACAATATTTTAACGACGCCATGACTCAAGCCTGAAAGAAGTGACATTAAAAGAGATGAACGGCAAATAAATGTAAGAAACACTTTTGTCTAAATTTATATGTGCCCATGTTGTGTTAATCCTTTCCATCGCCTTTGCTTCTTGTTATTGAGAGTTCCGACGGCATGCGCGAAGATGAATAACAGAAATAATAACTAGATATTAATATTTAACTCGCGAAATCGTAAAAACTGCAATAAAACTCCAAGGGACTATCGGGTCGTAAATTAAGTGTCTGGGCAAGCAAGCAAGCAAGACTTAAAGTTAAATATATTAAGCATGTCTGATGGATGAAAATTTAAAAAAATTTAAAATTCGATAATTAATCAATGCTTCTGTAAATTTTAATTAAAAATACAGATTAAAACTATTTGCATCTCATAGACATTAAATCACAAGTTGCAAAGTAGTAAAATTTTGAAATTCCGAAAACTCCAGGATTGGATTCGCTCCGCCTGGTCGTAAACCTCTTCGTCACGTTGAAAGCTAGACATCCTTTCGCCCTTATAAATATTCCATTCTCTTCTCGCCGCCCCCGACGCGACGTAATCTTTATATAACATGTGTAATACGCTACAAACGTCAAGCGTCGGACGACACAAGAAAAGTCATCAACGCTCAACGTTATTATCACGAGATAATGTTCACACGACGCGAGATGCCGATGAATGAAGACATCAATGCAGGTAACTGCCTCGCGCCACGACTTTGTGAACATTTTATGCTCATTCCGCTCAACGTGCATGTAAGATTTACAGTGTTAATTAAAAGCACAAGAAATGCTAATTATCATCTTGTGTTTATTGCATTACATATGCAATGCAACTGGTATCACAGATATTAGTTGCGTGTAACAAACAGCATAAGTTGGTTTGGTTAAATTCATACGAATATAAACACACAATGAATTCAAATTAAAACTTTATTACCGCGACGTCGCCGATTGTCGGATTGTTCTTGCGCACGGGTGTTGCATATTCGTATAGTGATGGCATCCGGAAAGTGCGCGCGTTCGTGTTCCAAAACATTTCGAAGGTTTACGACAAGCGCGGCGTTTTAGGATACGCTTCAGGAAGTCGCGAAGAGCACAACCACGCACACACGCGCGGCACTTACAACATGCGAATGTCAATGATGTATCGTTGCACCGTTGACGATTTTATAACGTGGACGTA